CAGCTTCACCTGAGCTCTGCTCTGACAGCTGAAGTTCTAAAAACATCAGTTTCTTACTTGTGCTCACTTTTGGAGTGGCTGTAGAGCAGGTCATCTGCTAATTGGAACATTGGTGATTTGATCCCTAACTGCTTGATCTGCATGACAACTTGCCCTTGAGCAAGATACAACCCCCCGAGTTGCTCTGTGATGTTTTTATCGGAGTGTGAATGTTTGAAAGCAGGTGGGAATAGGGTATATTGTATAAAGTGCTTTCCATGCTCAAGTATAACAACCAGTCTAATTAGCAGAAAGACCATTTCTTTGTTTTGATACTTCAGCACTTCCAGGTGAACACTGCTTGTGCACTCAGGCCTACCTATCTCACAATGGTAAATTATCACTCCAAAATTTCCTGGATCCACATTAGGATTGACTCCAAATGTTCATCCTGTTTCAAGGAAATCCATCCAGGACTTTCTGAGCACCCTGAAACAGCCTCGTGAGGATGAAAGAGATCTGAGCCTGTGTTTGGAGCTTCTGTAGATTTGTTTATCAGCTGATTTCTTTCAGACTTACTTCAATGACATGAGGTTTGTGTATGATGATGGATGGATGTCCACCTCACATTTGACAGCCACAGCTTTCAAATGTAATAATTTTACATCTTCAAGTTCAAAGATAATCGACCATTGTGGGGGTAGAGTTCACGTAGCTACTCTGCCCTCTGTTGGCACATGGTATTGAAGAAGATAACAGTGGAGGAATTATATCCTTAAACTTAGTTACAACCCTTTTAGAAAGACATCTGCTGTAATTAAATGTATTCCCAATAATACATCCAATAATGTATTAATGCTGTGTAATCCATTATTGTAAATGTATATGTTAAGAAATAATCAGACAAAGGAGGATTCACAGGATTGAGTCTTCTAGAATTAGAGCATCAACGTTTTTAAGTGTTTGTATTTCTACTTACCTCTTACTGCTGAATGTGTGTGCTTTTGCAACCTATGCCTCCCCCAACAGAGATCGTGCAGGCGGTGATTCATGGTGGCACCCCACCCCTCCGCCCCTCCCTCTGCTTCCACAGTCACAGTGAGGAGCTTGGTGTCCTGATGCAGCGCTGCTGGAGTGAAGAGCCGAGCGAGCGTCCCGACTTCAACACCATCAAGATCCTGCTCAGGAAGCAGCACAGGTGAGGGAGAGGCAACGGACCCACATTTATTCTGAGACAGGTTTTTATGATGCTCTGATTAATGCTGAAGCAGGAGACATGCAAAAAAACTCCGAGTATGCTCTCAGCTGTACAAAACTTTTATTCAGCTCTCTGTTTGGACACTAAACAAAGCTGGCAGAGAGTGTCCCCGGTAACTCTGTAAAATCAGCCAGTAAAGAAATATTGAAATATAAATATTCATGTTGTTCTTTCATTAAAATAGAGGCTGAGAAATGAGAGAAATATGTAGAAAAATTGTCACTCACAAAACAGAAAGCCAAACACCTGTCACCCTGTCTGCGTGTCTCTGTCCAATCATGTGTCTCTTCAGAGGATATGGCTCCAACATCCTGGACAATCTGCTCTCCCGGATGGAGCAATATGCTAATAACCTGGAGGAGCTGGTGGAGGAACGAACGCAGGCCTATCATGAGGAAAAGAGGAAGGCGGAGGCCCTGCTGTACCAGATACTCCCACAGTAACTATACTTCAGTACTACTGCCCTGAATACTGCACTAAATACTGGATACTGCAGTACTATAACATCCTATTTATGTGTCAGTTCTGTAGCAGAGCAGTTAAAACGAGGAGAGACAGTTCAGGCTGAAGCGTTTGACTCTGTCACCATCTACTTCAGCGACATCGTTGGCTTCACCACTCTGTCTGCAGAGATCACGCCACTGCAGGTTGTTAACCCAGAGGAAGCTACAGGGAAACCATCCACATGAGGGTTCTCCAACGCAGGTCCTGGAGAGAGCTACTGTCCTGCAGCTTTTAGATGCATCCTTGTTCCAACACACCTAAATCAAATGAGTGGCTTGTGACCAGGCCTTTGCCAAAATTGATGGCATGCTGAAGAAGCTGCAGGACAGTAGCTCGCTAGGACTGGAGTTGGAGACGCCTGATCTATACATTCAGATCACAACGTGCAAACATAAGGCTGCCATCTGCTGGTTTGAGCTATTATTGCAGTACATTTCTGATTGTTTTGGTGTGAAATCTCACTCACCTTCTGTGTCTGCGTTTTCCTCCTGCAGGTTGTGACGTTATTAAACGACTTGTACACCTGTTTTGATGCCATTATAGACAACTTTGATGTATACAAGGTAAAATTTGCTAAACTGAGCTAATCTAAGCTACATCCCACCTGTGAGTCCGATCAGTTTACCGTGTACATCTTCACCTTTCAGGTAGAAACAATCGGTGATGCCTACATGGTGGTCTCAGGACTACCTGCCAGGAACGGTAAACTTCACGGTCGAGAGGTTGCCCGCATGTCCCTCGCCCTGCTGGAAGCTGTCAAGAGCTTCCAGATCCGACACCGACCCAATCAGCACCTACGGCTCCGCATCGGCATCCATAGCGGTACTACATACACTGCAGCCAGAAATACTACAATATTACTATCACTACTATCATTACACTACAGTAAAAGAACAGTGCAGACTTAGTGTTGGTGTGTGTGTCACCAGGTCCGGTATGCGCTGGCGTGGTTGGGTTGAAGATGCCGAGGTACTGTCTGTTTGGAGACACGGTCAATACAGCGTCACGCATGGAGTCAACTGGGGAGGGTAGGACCTGCTTCCTGCTAAGTAATCACATGTCTGTGTCCACCAGGACAGGTCTAACTTGATTGGTTCTTTAGTCTAATCAACTCTGATGACGAAAGACAAAAACATCATTTAGTTTATGTTCTCGGAATAAAGTGAATCTAAAAGATGGATGTAGCCACATACTGGTTTGTTGCACCTGCTGCCTATTTGATTTTTATAAAGCCAGAGGTGACTTTCAGCCTCAACTCTTACAGTTGTTATGAAGGGAGAAATTATTTACACAGGCCAAACCAGTTTGTGTGTCAGGCTGTAAACATGTTTATTTCTGCTAAAGTTTTAACATGGGTGTCTATGCTGACTGATTTGCTGTTGTTGTCTTTGGTGAACATTAGAGGAACTGCAGGTTTTGGGACCTTACATATTTGTCATGCTGTGGTTGTACTTGAACACTTTATCCCCTGCTCGGCCAGGTGTGACATCATGCGTTGTTGTGTCTTTGCAGCTCTGAAGATTCACGTGTCGGAGGCGACTCGTCAGGTTCTGCAGGAGTTCAGCTGTTTCCAGCTGCAGCTCAGAGGAGAGATTGAAGTGAAAGGGAAAGGACGCATGAGGACATACTGGTTGCTGGGAGAGAACGCCACTAACTAAAAGATCAGGAGGACATCAAGAACCCGCCTCCTCATCTTCCTATCTAATTAGACAGAACATTGTTTAAGATGACAGATAAAAGACTGAGTGAACTTTCACCAAAAACTGTAGAGAAAAACAAAGATAGGCAAATGTTTTACTGTAAGATAAATTAATCACAAGGAAGAAAATGTGTAAATACAACAATAAACTGTGTTTGCTACCTGTGTGTCTTTATTGTGAATAAATCCATTGTCATATTTGCCACATCAGGTGATTATTTTGCATGATTTAAGTTTATAGAATAGTCTTTTATTGTCATTGCACATGTACAATGAAATTATGGGTTCTCCACATTAACTGTGCCAGAATAAATATAAATAGTAGACAGCAGGAATAAATAACAAACAGGAGAAATATATATTATCAAGAGGGATGTATACAAAACAAGAAAAAGGCACACATTAGAGGATCGAGTGCTTGGACAGAGTGCAAAGGACTTGGTCTGAGAATCGAGTCCATGTGTGAGTGGTCTGAATGATGAGGGTTACTCAGGTTGCAAAAGGCCCTAAAAATGTGTGATTTATTTCAGTTTTTCAGGATTTAATTGTACCTTGTCAAAACTTTATGTTCACTGTGATTTCAGCACAAAAATGATTCTCAGTACTACAGCTTCTAGGTTTGCTGCCATTGCCAGTGGTTATGAATGGTCACTCGTGTGAAATATAATAAGCCATAAGGGTGAATTGTAACTTTAAGCTGCTGTTGTGAAAGATGGTGTTTTGCTCGATACTTGGTAGAAGGACTGGTTTTTAATATAGCCCTTTTCTACTCAAATTGAGCACTCAAAGTGCTTTATACTACATCTCACACACATACATGCAAGCACTTTTTTCTTTCTGTATTTACAGAATTCATGGTTTTATCAATTACAGCATGTAGTCCACATCCTGAAGCAGCAAAGCAGTCCCAGACCATCACACCACCATATGTTAAAGTTACTATGATGCTAGTTTGATGTCAGACGTGACAGATTGTTGAATCATGAACTCTGACCTTAACAAGACAACTGAAGACTGCAGTTCTTTAAGTGTTGTTAGGGGTTCTTCTGTGACCTCTTGGATGAGTTGTCAATCCACTCTTGGAGTAAATTTGGTAAGCCAGGCACTCCTGTGAAGGTTTCCACTGTTCCAAGCTGGATAATGGCTCTCACCATTTTTCACTCGAGTTATAAAGCCTTAGATATGGCTCTGTAAACCTTTCCAGATTGATAGATGTTTGTTTCTCAGCTGTTTGTGACATGTGCCTGATTGTAGCATGATGACTTGTTTTTTGAGATCTTTTAGCCTTTCACTTTGTCAGACAGTGAAATATTTTTTTTCCCTTTCTAAATGAAATCATCAGTTAGTAACTTTATTTTGTATTTACTTAGGTTATCTTTGTCTAATATAATAATGTGTTTAATGATCTAAACATATAAGTGTGATAAATATGCAAGACAATAAATAAATACAGGAGTTGGCAAACACATACGGATCCACCCACCATTGTGCATCACTAGAGGTAAAATGAGAAACCTACCAATTAAACAGAGATTTCTAAAAGAGAGCCTCAGGTTTCAATGTCTTCATTAGTTCCTCAACATGACTTTTAAAGGAAAGGAGCTACTCAGATAGTTCTATCATTTTTCATGTCAGTAACGTGTATTCAAGTCCACATCAATTAACATGAATTTGTCTATGAAAACAATACAGTCCACTTTAGACAATCCAGCAGTTTTTCTAAACCTAAAGTATTTTGAAATCGACCACTGTTGTAACAAATCAGTTTATACACTTTCTTCCTTCCTAGATGTTCTGGGATCAGCTGTAAGTGCTGTTATTACAAAATGGAAGCATTTAGGAACCACAGCAACTCAGCCATGAAGTGTCAGACCATGTAAAGTTACATAGTGGGTCACTGGGTGGTGAGGTTTAAGTGACCAAGTTTAAGTCACCAACACTCTGCCGACTCAGTAACTGCAGTGCTCCAAATCTCCTCTGTTATTAACATCTGCTCAAAAACTGCACCAGGAGCTTCATGGCCAAGTAGACCCCGGAAGTGGAATGTGCAGGTGGTCCAGTTCTTTCTCCTAGAGTGTGCAGATTGATTTTTTTGTTTTTTGTTTTTACTTTACTTTATATTGCCCTGTTTTGGCCATAATAAAACTAATAGATATGTGCTTTATTTTAAAGCACATATAGTTCCAAAATAGCCCACTGCAGAGTAGTCAAATGTGGTTAAAAATCTGGATTCTTCTTCTTCCCACTGCTCTCTTTGCTGGTCTCCACAGTGAATCATCATCTCCATTTCCTCCTATCCCACTATCCTCCTCAGTTGTACCAACAGACAACAATGGATGATAAATATGAACAATGAAACAAACAATGACTTTTTGGACCAACAACAACTATTTTTATCTTTTCTCTGCTTGGTTCTAAAAAGTTTTGAAACATTTAGGAATTAATGTCATCCATGCAGCTAATTTGTTTGGCTGTCTTTTTGTCAGTGCCAATGTCTCCAACATTCCATTTTACATTCCTCTTTTTGAGTTTATGTTGTTACTGGTTTTTACTTGTTAGATGTTGACATTTGGGATGAATAAAACCAGTTTTTATTTTATTTTATTATTTTGTACATACTTCAAAAGTATCTCAGAAGGTGGAATGGTTCAATATATTTCATGTATAACAGCAGTCTAAGTGCAGTAAGCAGACAAGTACTGCGTACTTTACAGTTCTTCAATATTTGCTCTACAACACTATAAACACGCTGAAGCCCTTTCCATGCTGTTGGCCTTCAGTATAGGCGATCGAGGATTGGCTCCAGGTTCTCGCTCCTGTTATTGGTCCACGCTCACTTCAGTCTGTGGTGTAAGTGAAGTGATTGGTCGGCGGCGTGTGCGGTCCCGCCTCTTCCCCCTGCTGGCTCAGTGCGGACGTCCGTTATGTTACAGTGTCGGACAGAGTGGGACTCACGGTCCGAACTGACCCCGAAAAAGTTCTGAAAACACACATTAAAGGTCCGAAGCGGCTCACCGCAAGGCACCGACCCTAAATCCTCCGTTATACTGACACAGACACCCATCACGCCCCCTAGCACAGGTAGTCCCAGTCCGTGTCAACTCCGCGGGGCCCGGCGAGGCGCAGTGGGAGCAGATGGAGCCTGCACCGGCGAAAGCGAAGCCGCAGGGCCGGCTCCTGGTGTCCACCCCACTGGACGCCAAAGACGAGCTGGAGGAGGTAGGTTGACGCTGTTTAGCTGGTCTCAAGGCAGACTAAACCAGGACAGAGCGGGCTTACGGGCAGACAGCGCAGCCTTGGTATAAAGACTCCGCGGGACCATTTTATTAGACGGTTAGCACGGCTAGCAGCAGGCTCATAGCGTTAGCTCAGCAGAAGGGTACGTTGCGGGACTCGGAACTGCTACCGGAGGTGTGGAATTTGTGTCTCTGCTGTTGTGTTCGTTCACGGTGTGAGGGGCTGCGGACCGAACCGCGGGGCTCATTAAAACCAAATCAGTTAGCTTAGCATGCTAACTCTACGTAAACATACGAACATATGAAAAGTGACATGCGCAGTGTCTCACTGGTCAGACGCTAACTGTGAGTGCTGTTTGATAAAGTTCAGTTTTTCTATGGGGCGCCGTCAGCTGATCGACTAGTTGATGCTATATTTCCGTTTATGGTTTTTACTATTTTCTGTTTGTGTTTCTCATATTTGCATTGATTCTTGTTGTGCTTGTGTTGTCGGTATGTTTAGTGTTTGTTGTCTTGTTTACACTGATTGCTGTGTTTGCGTGCAGAGATTGGAGCGCTGTGTTGGAATCGTCCAGGCACTGACCAATGGACTGTCAGAGAGGGAGGCCAATGACGCACTCACGGCCAACGTAAGAAACATCAGTACTACTACTGCTGATACTACTAATGACTTCCACCCATGTGAAGAAACGGAGTAGTATTTGGAGCTAACATAAACACATTTTGTGCATTCAGCCTTCCTGGGGCATAGTCTGAGCTGCAGGAGCTTTACATGCAGGCTGCATTTGGCGGGTTTGTAAGGTACAACTCACCAGGTGTCATTTATAAACTTACTTTCCAGGAAAGAATCTAAATCACACTTTAAAGCCAAATAAAAGAGAGCTAAATAAAAGAATCAGTGAAAACATGGCACATCCACCTCATTTTTAACTCAGACTCTGAACATAACCTGATCTCCAGCAGGTGATGTGTTGAGCATCAGTTACCATGGTTATTTAGTCCTTCATGACACAGAAAACGCTGACTTTAGCCTCACAGCTCACTAATGCCTTTATCTTCACAATTCGTAGCACACCTCTCAGTACTATTACATTTAATACTCACACATAGTACTGCAATCACCAAATTAAACAACTATGCTTGTATTTAGGCATGATGTGTTTGTAGGCGAAACCTAACAATACTGCTGTATCTGAAAACCCAGAGTTTGTACTAAAGAACGACTGAAGACTCTCATTAGGGTTATGTGCAGGATATGTAATCTGTGGATTAGTTTTGTTATGATGTGCCGCTGATGTGGGCTGTGATCCGAAAATATGACGTCTACAGATTGCATGTCAACAACTGGCCAGTCAGTGGTGTCAATCAGTGAGTCAAGAGTAGGGATGGGTACCGGTATCCAGTGCCATAATGGCACCGGTTCTGACGTAAAC